CATCTTAGTTTCTTGTCAAATATTGCTGTAAGCTCTGTCCTCGGCACCCGGCAGTCAGCATAGAGAAAGCGCACAGGGAAGAGGACAAATTAAACAAAGTTTGTATCTCTCATATTAATTTGCCATGTTTGCCCTGGTTTTGCCTTGTCTGATCTAGAGTGGGTTGCCATTTGCTAAATCTTTAATGTAAGTTTCATAGAATGTGACTATCTCTTGAAAAAATTGTTAAAGGACCACTATAGTGCCAGGAAAACAAACTTGTTTTCCAGGCACTATAGTGCCCTAAGGGTCCCCCCACCCTCATGGCCCCCCTCCCACTGGGCTGAAGGGGGAGGAAGGGGTTAAACACTCACCTTTCTCCAGCGCCGGGCTCCCTCTCTCCTCCCTCTTCGGCTGAATGCGCATGCGCAGCAAGAGCCGCTCGCGCATTCAGTCAGTCCATAGGAAAGCATTCTCAAAAAAATCATGGTGAGAAGCGCGGAAGCGCCTCTAGCGGCTGTCAATGAGACAGCCATTAGAGGTTGGATTAACCCAGAGGTAAACATAGCAGTTTCTCTGAAACTGCTATGTTTACAGCTGCAGGGTTAACACTAGATGGACCTGGCACCCAGATCACTTCATTGAGCTGAAGTGGTCTGGGTGCCTATAGTGGTCCTTTAACGCAAATTACAGGTGATTTTTCTATGCTCGATCTAACATTCAATGGTGTAAGTAACCGCTCTTCAAATTAATCATAATCAAGAACAATTATCTGCACCTTTCCACATGATAAGAGTTTAACTACAGTTATACTACACAGCTGTATTTGTGTTTGTTATACATATTAGGGAGTCTAATCATATATATAATCTTTTTTTGTATCATTCATAAACATACTGTGCAGTGGCAGGATTTAAAAGCATTAGAATTACAGGCAAGTTAGCCAACTATACTTAGGTTGCTCAACTAACCAGCTCAGTACCAGACAACATTTAACGTATTGTGAATGTGCACTGAGAATGTTAAACTGGCTGTGAAGAAAGGTTTTCACCTGCTATTGTTTATGTGCTTCAGGCATTGTCCACCAGTGTCCTTTACTTCCGTGCAGGCCCGGACTGGCCATCGGGCATACTGGACAAATGCCCAGTGGGCCGCAATGGCCATGGACCGAGGCCGGCAGGGAGGATCATAGGATCTCCCCTGTCAGCCCTGCTGTGTGCCTTCATGGGCCGGTGGGGTGATGAAAGATCTCTCTCACTGGCCCACAGGCTGTGAAATGCGGCCACCGGCTGGGGAAGGAGGGAGTGAGAGAGGGACCGGTGGAGCTCTTACCTGCAGCTCTGCCGGGTTCCTCTCGCGAGGTCAGAGCATTGATGCTGTTACCACGGCAAAGCTCAGATCTCGCGAGAGTGAACTCTAGCCCCACATGCTCCACACATGACCACCAGGGATGGCAGCATGGCCCCCCTTCCAGGCATAAGGTAAGAAGGAGGGATATAAAGTTTTTTTAAATATTTAAATCTACCCCCACCCCACACTCACACTAACAGCACCCTCACACACACACAGCACCCTCAGACACAGACAGCACCCTCACACACACACACACACAGCACCCTCAGACACACAGCAGCCACACACACACAGCACACACACAGCACCATTACACACACAGCACTCTCACACACACACACATAGATATAATATATAAAATAACTCTCAGTGAGTTAACAGACAAAGAAAATTAGAAACAAAGAATGTGACAGCAGATAAGAACACCCTCACACACACAGCACCCATCTTACACACACACTGCACCCCTCACACATACAATACATCTAAACATATATATATATATCTATATATATATATATATATATATATATATATAGATATATATATATCCATAGATATATGTATATATATATATACACTACAGCACCCCTCACACTGCACGACTATACACATTATGCTCCAGATACACGCTAGATCCCTTACCCAACTCTGGATCATCTAATCTACACACATACACACACTAGATCCCTATATACACTCTGAATCCTCTACACACACACACACATGATCTCCTATACACACTCTGGGTCCTTTACACACTAGGTCCTCTACACACACACTGCACCACCTGCACACACTACATTCCTGACATACAAACTCTGGATCCCCTGTGCACACACTACATTCCTTGTAAGCAAACACATGCTACATTCTCTAAACACACACTCTCTACAACCCCTACACACACTACATCTCCTACACACACACTCTACAGCCCTTATGCACACACTCGCTACATCCCCTATACACACTATGGCCCCTTTACACACACTCTCTACAGCCCCTAGCTACACATATTACACCACAAACACGAATGAAATCGACCTATTTACACAATACCACTCAACAATCAGCTCACTCTACACACACACAGTCCCACAAGCAGGCTCCAAACACATACACGATACTCTTTCCTGGCCCTTTCGTCCTCTGGTATCCCACTTATGGAGACACCAGAGACAAGTTAAAAGCAGACACAATGCAAACATGTTATTAAATTTGCTTGCGCTGAGCAGAACAAATTCAGGGCCTTTTCCTCATGCTAGAGGTGCGCAGCGGGGCTCTGCGCATTGAACCAACATGTTCACTTTGAGAGGGGGCGTGCTTGTCATTGGTGATAACAAAACACACCCTCTCTGGCCCTGCCAGGGGCCTGCTGTGATTGAAAAATGCCCAGGCTGAATTTTTTTCCTATTCCGACCCTGCTTCCGTCACGAAGCAAAAGGAAGCAAACTTTCGCATTGGCTTTGACCTGAAGAGATGATGACATTTCAGATCTATGTAGTGTGTGACAGAAATGTTGTTTGATAGAAGTGTTGTGTGCTAGTAGAGCTTAAACAAAAAAATGTAAAAAGAGGTGATTGCGCATAGTATGGTTATAGTTAACTCCTAGAACACAGGGATACATAGCAACATGTAACTGAGGTAGACTATTTCCAGGTTGAAACATGTTGTTTTAATCAATGTGTAATTAATAAAGCTGATCTATCCTTTTTCTTTATGGTGGAAACCTCATAGGGACCTAGAAAACTGGAGCAAGTCAGATGGTAAAACCTTTGCTTGATGCCCGCATATTTCAGAGCCAACTTCAGGCTCTGAATATTGTGAGTCTTTTCAATAACTCTCATTTTATGATGCTTCACTTTGTGCTGGAAAAACAGCTTTGTTGTTTCCCTTTAAGGATTTTGTTATAACTTGTGAATCAATATACAAATTCCAAGCTTTCAAAAAATTCATAAGTCCACTTAAAGACATTTGAAAGGACTTACCTCTACAATCTTTGGGAAGGTTTATTTTATTTCAATGTTTTCTTTCTGCTTTTGGCATTTTAAAGGGACACTATTGTCACCAGAACCAATACAGCTTAATGTAGTAATTCTGGTGTCTATCACCTGTCCCTGCAGGCTTTTCAATGTAAACACTGACTTTTCAGAGAAAAGGCACTGTTTATATTACTGCCTAGTAACACCTTTAGTGGTAGTAACTCAGACGGCCACTAGAGGTGCTTCCTGCATCAGTGCTGCACAATGTGCAGCACCTACGTTCAGTGTCTACATGAACATTTATGAGGAGATGCTGATGAAGCACTGCTTTTTGCTGCGCATGCGCAATAGCCTCCCAATTCTTTTCTATGGGAGAATGAGGATCTCGGCCATGGAGGTGGAGCCGGAGTGGCGAGTTGGGGTGAGACTGGCGTGGCATGGCAAAAAAGGTGAGTAAAATTACCTTTTTATTGCGATATAAGGGGGCCAGTTACCTAAACAGCCACTTGAGGACGGAAGGAGATCTATTTACTGGTAATACCTATACCCTGGCTGTTACTTTAAATATGATCTGCAATGTTTTTGTGTTAACACCCCATTGTTAACTTGTGAGCTTATAATCTAAAGGTATCTTGCTAAGCAATTTGTGTAAAAGTACTGTATTTGCTAGATTGTAAGCTTACGAGCAGGTTCATTTATTCCCTTTGTACCAGTATGTGTTCACTCTATTGTAAAGTACTGCAGAATACGTTGGCACTATAAAAACACCAAACAAATATAAAATTATAATAATAAACACCTACGTTACACTATTGAGAACAAAAAATAAGGGACCGTGGGAGCTGTTTAGTATTTAATCCATTAACAATGCAGTTATTTTTATAATTGTTATGTTTCCAACATTTTATTGAGCATATTCAGGATTAGCAACCAACAAAGTATGTAAAAAATAGATAATAAAATAGCAAATATGCAGTAGAGATGTTATGATAGCAATACAAACATGACATACAGTATTAAAGTTCAGAGGTCTATGAGGATAAAACAATTTGTAAAGAGGTTAGTAACCCTTATTAGATAAAGAAAGTTAAATTAAGCAAGGGTTCGGAGAATAAAACAAATACAAACATAGGCAAGAAGTAACAAATAGCCCATAGACTCGGGCAGTTCCCCAAATAATAACCAAAAAAAGTAGAGTGGTGGTGGGTGTAGAGAATGTTAAATCATAATAGTAACAAGCTGAGTAACAAAATATAAAAAAGAGAACATTTTGGACAATGGCCTCCAGGCCTGTGGACAGGGATTATAAAAATGTTTATCCACTAACGCTTGTTGTAAATAATAATTCATGTGAAATATGTTTTACATTTTTTTATTTTATTTTTTGTGCAAATTGGTACAGCAGTGCTTGTATTGCCACAACAGCATTCATAAGCGCGGTCGTTAGAAACACAGTATAACATAAGTATGGCATGGGTAGAACTTGCACATTTTAGATATTTAGTGGTTCAAGATCTCAGCAGTTTAACATAAGTGAGCGTTTGGAAATATGTCAGTAGATCGACAATAGTAAGCATGAAAATAAATAGATTATTCAAACTGACGGTAGGGTAGAAAGAGTCATGTCAGTGAAGAGTATACGAGAGCTATGCATATAGTTTCCGCCATATTGACAGGTATTTGGTATTTAGAGTAGGAATGAAAACAGGTCTACCCCGTCAATTGTAGAGTATAATTAGCTTGAGTCAGGCATAGACATTTAATAGAAAATATAACGTGAGAGTGAAGGTAAAAGCGGGAAAGATATACATATCATTTACTCAGACTAAGGCACGTCTCCTCGCTAATTTTTTAATCCTTGTTATTGCTTTTTGTACCCGGGCTGAGGGTTGCCATGCCAGCCCCTTGATACGGTAAGTGAGCGGTCATCCGACACCTCTGCAAGGGTTATTTCTTTTGCTTGGGCTCAGTCCAATTGGGGGGAAAATGCAGCATCGTGTAGCTCTCCAGCCCCGGTGCTGTATGAGAGCTGGCACCCTTTTGACACGAGCCTGGGGTCCAGTGAGGTCCTGGGTCTTCCCAGTTGGGATGGTGCGGTGGGTCCTGCAATTGGTCACTGTGTGTCGTCGCTTGTGCCTTGTGGCCTTGCACCTGTGTGGCTGGTGCCTTTGGGTTATGACCCTTGTTGCTCTCAGCTTGGACGGGCATCTTGTGGGGATGGCTGAGGTGGGGTATTGCTTTGCACCCTGTAGTGGTTTCCCAGACCTCCTCTTGGTGCGCACGTGGTCCTGTTCAGTCGGGATGGGAGTAGTCATAGCTGGTCCAATACGGGTCAACAACTTGGCCCAGAATCGGTCGAATATGACATCAAGAGTGTCTCTTACTTTGTTGCTTGGGTCTGGCAGGTCATGCTGCTGCATTTGCGTGCGGCTTGAATCTGGGTCTGATGCGGCCGCCATTTTGGAGGTCTCCGTACCAGTGTAGCTTGTGAAGCCTGCGGGATTCTCTGAGAGGTATGGGTCATGGGATGCTCCATTTGACGGGGACCGGGATATCCCCCACTGGTCCACGGGGGGGGGGGGAGTGTGTCTTGCTCTCTCATGGCTTGTAGCAGCAGGAGGAAAGCAGCCGCCTTTCCCTCCACTGTCTCCAGTAGGCCTCAATTTGCTGCAGCGGTTACCGGTCGTTCCAGGTGTCAAGTTTGGTGTCTGCAGATACGTGCAGGCTTCCCCCATCCGTATAGCTCTGTTACGGGAGATTCCCAGCCCTGCAGCCCGAGTGATCAGCGAGATTATAACCCGTGCAGCGGGAGCTCATGCGAGGCACGACATGTCAGCTCGCTGGCTTGGCTCCGCCCCATGTTTTGAATTTTTGTTTGATAGGAGAATGAGATGAGTTACTATAAGGTTGCCAAATACAGAAACAAACATTTGGTTAGTTTAAATTTATTAATACAGGTTTCAGGCCAGTTCATATGGAAGGTATAATATAATATGGAACAAGAAAGGGCAAGGTTGGAGGGTCAGGTTGAATCTGTTATGCAATTTAGATATCTACGTTACCACTTCCATAATAAAAAAATATTTTATTCCAAAAATATATGGACTGCAATCAATCCAATTAGTGTGTCTCCCCCTCCCCCCGCAACAACAGATCTGAGGTGGTCAGGCCCCTCAATAATATCCAAGAGAGAAAGAGGGATCCAAGCACTCCATGTGGGGTTAAATGTAGACTTTGATAGGAATCAACACATGAGATAGGGAGCCATGTGGGTGAGAGAGTTCAGAGAAAGGCTACTAAACTGGTTCATGGATTGCGGGGTAAAACTTATAAGGAAAGGTTAAAGGAACTTAACATGTATAGCTTGGAGGAAAGACGAGACAGGGGGGATATGATAGAAACATTTAAATACATAAAGGGAATCAATACAGTAAAGGGGGAGACTATATTTAAAAGAAGAAAAACTACCACAACAAGAGGACATAGTCTTAAATGAGAGGGGCAAAGGTTTAAAAATAATATCTGGAAGTATAGTAGTGGAGAGGGTAGTGGATGCATGGAATAGCCTTCCAGCTGAAGTGGTAGAGGCTAACACAGTAAAGGAGTTTAAGCATGCGTGGGATAGGCATAAGGCTATCCTAACTATAAGATAAGGCCTGGGACTAATGAAAGTATTTAGAAAATTTGGGCAGACTAGATGGGCCGAATGGTTTTTATTTACCGTCACATTCAATGTTTCTATGACACTTGGGCACGCTGTCACGGCAGTCCTGGAGATTTGAGCGGGGCAGCTCTGGTGAAGCAGATTCTGTTAGTACTATTTTAATAGAAACATAGAAACATAGAAACATAGAATGTGACGGCAGATAAGAACCATTCGGCCCATCTAGTCTGCCCAATTTTCTAAAAACTTTCATTAGTCCCTAGCCTTATCTTATAGTTAGGATGGCCTTATGCCTATCCCACGCATGCTTAAACTCCTTTACTGTGTTAACCTCTACCACTTCAGCTGGAAGGCTATTCCATGCATCCACTACCTCAGTAAAGTAATACTTCCTGATATTATTTTTAAACCTTGTCCCTCTGATTTAAGACTATGTCCTCTTGTTGTGGTAGTTTATCTTCTTTTAAATATAGTCTCCTCCTTTACTGTGTTGATTCCCTTTATGTATTTAAATGTTTCTATCATATCCCCTGTCTCATCTTTCCTCCAAGCTATACATGTTAAGATCCTTTAACCTTTCCTGGTAAGTTTTATCCCGCAATCCATGATCCAGTTTAGTAGCCCTTCTCTGAACCCTCTCTAAGGTATCAATATCCTTCTGAAGATACGGTCTCCAGTACTGTGTACAATACTTCAAGTGAGGTCTCACCAGTGTTCTGTATAATGGCATGAGCACTTCCCTCTTTCTACTGCTAATACCTCTCCTATACAACCAAGCTGTCATAGCATTTCCTGCTCTATTACATTGTCTGCCTACCTTAAGTCATCAGAAATAATCACCCCTAAATCCCTTTCCTCATATGTTGAGGTTAGAACTCTATCAAATATTCTGTACTTCTGCCCTTGGTTTTTACGCCCAAGATGCATTATCTTGCACTTATCCACATTAAATGCCGCTGCCACAATTCTGACCATTTTTCTAGTTTACCTAAATCATTTGTCATTTGGCTTATCCCTCCTGGAACATCAACCCTGTTACATATCTTAGTATCATCAGCAAAAAGACATACCTTACCATCAAGACCTTCTGCAATATCACTAATAAAAATATTAAAGAGAATGGGTCCAAGTACAGATCCCTGAGGTACCCCACTGGTGACAAGTCCAAGCTTCGAATATATTCCATTAACTACAACCCTCTGTTGCCTGTCACTCAGCCACTGCCTTACCCATTCAACAATATTGGAATCCAAACTTAAAGATTGCAGTTTATTGATAAGCCTTCTATGTGCAACAGTGTCAAAAGCCTTACTGAAATCTAGGTAAGCAATGTCTACTGCACCACCCTGATCTATAATTTTAGTTACCCAATCAAAAAAATCAATAAGATTAGTTTGGCATGATCTCCCTGAAGTAAACCCATGTTGTCTCTGATCTTGAAATCCATGTGTTTTTAGATGTTCATCAATCCTATCCTTTAACATGGTTTCCATCACTTTCCCCACTACTGAAGTAAGGCTTACTGGCCTATAGTTGCCCGACTCCTCCCTATTACCTTTCTTGTAAATGGGCACAACATTCGCTAACTTCCAATCTTCTGGGACTACTCCTGTTAACAATGATTGGTTAAATAAATCTGTTAATGGTTTTGCTAGTACACCACTAAGCTCTTTTAATAGCTTTGGGTGTATTCCATCAGGTCCCATTGACTTATTTGTCTTTACTTTTGACAGTTGAAATAGAACCTCTTCCTCTGTAAACTCACGTGTAATAAATGACTCATTTATCCTTTTTCTCAACTGAGGTCCCTTTCCTTCATTTTCATCTGTAAATACAGAACAAAAATATTCATTGAGGCAGTCAGCTAGACCTTTATCCTCTTCTACATACCTTCCTTCTTTTGTTTTTAATCTAACTAATCCTTGTTTTACTTTTCTTTTCTCATTTATGTATCTAAAAAATGTTTTATCCCCCTTTTTTACTGACTGTGCTATTTTCTCTTCTGTGTGTGATTTGGAAGCTCTTATAACTTGCTTAGCCTCTTTCTGCCTAATCTTATAGATCATTTTGTCTCCCTCACTCTGGGTTTTTTTTTATAATTCCTAAATGCTAACTTTTTGTTTTTAACTATTTTGGCCACATCTGCGGAGTACCACAGTGGTTTCTTGAATTTTTTGCTTTTACTGGCAAGCCTAATGCAATTTTCTGTTGCCTTCAATAGAGCAACTTTTAAATAATCCCATAATCATAATAATGTAATTATTAATTTAATTATGATGTCTATATAAGTGCACTGTGGTAAGAGTTGTTAGATTTCACAAAGGCCACATGACCTTTTTTGAAAGACCCAGAGGGGTCAGGTCTCCACACTATATTTAATACTAGTGGCACATTAAAAATGAATTTTATTGTCTTACATCAATGTTTGGAAGAGCGATTTGGGGACTTTCGGAGAAGTCTAGTGACTGGTTGAATATATGAAAGGTTACATCTTCTCTCACAATATGTGCTGACCATAAAGAGCAAGTATATAAGATACTCTTCCGCTGGTACTTGACTTCTCTCCAGTTGTAACGAATTCAAGTGATCTCATTGAATTTGTGCTGGAAAGGATCCCAAGAAATAGGATACTTTCTACTCTGCTAGTGGACATGCCCTAAACTCACACCCCTTTTACTACCTTATTAACACAAATCTTGGGTAAACTGTATCCTACAGATGCCAGGGTTCTTTTACTTTCTAAAACTCTAGCTTCAACTAAAATCAGCGCATAAAGCAATAAGGGAACTCGGGGCCACAACTGAGGTTCCAAATTTGGCCACGATTATCCAAAAGACCAAAGAAGCTTTGTAAATTAATAATCTCACTGCTCAAAGCAATGATACAGCCTAATTATTCCATAAAATTTGGGACCCATGGTTTAATGGAAACATTGCAGAAAGCACACTAACTCTTCCTAACTTAAGTATAAAAAGTTGAACACTCTATAGGATGGGGTTCGCTAGCCTCTGGAAACCCTCTTTCCCTATTCCTCTTCTCTTCATTACTTTTCTCAGCTCTCGAATCTCTCTCCTTCTCTATTATGTACATAGTTTAATCCTACACTGATGTTCCTTGCCCCGTTCCTTATACATTGCTTTTGGAGGCCGAACCTGCCTTCATGGCCACTGCTACTTCACAACTACCATTCACTACAATTTTATTGAACAAAACTCCCCCCTCTGTACTTTGTACCATTTATAATTATCGATTATTGGCGCAACTTGGCTCCCTTTCCTTAGTTGTAACGTCAGAAGACACCCCCTCCCTTTTCTCCACCTGTATATATTGTGTATAATAGTGATTGTGAACATATATGTGACCACCGAGGAGCCCTAGTACTAAATGTCCACAAAGCTAATGGCTTGACACACTATGTTTTATACAGACACTTTGGAATCATTATTTATCCTAACTATTGTTATATCACTTTTTGTTCTTGTTGATTAATATTTACATTTTGTGTGACTACAAAATTAAATAAAGAATTATAAAATTAAAATACTAATTTAAAAAGGTGAGGTGGCGAAATGGGAAGATATCCCAGTATCTCCAACTCAGGGAAGATGGTGAAATAAAGGTACAAAGAAGAGATAGCAAATGCTTGTATACCCTTCAAAACTTTTGGTTGTGTTCTCAGGACCAAGGACAATGCTACATGTCCAGCCGTCGCATTTCACACAGTTGGATGATGCTCTTATTTTCAAGCGATGTTGTTGATCTGGAGCAAGGTTTTCCAAACTCTGGACCTCCAGA